TGTGTGTAGTGTGTGTGTGTGTGTGTGTGTGTGTGTGTGTCGTGTGTGTAGTGTGTGTGTGTGTGTTGTGTGTGTGTACACGTTTACACGTGTATTATGTAAATCAATGTTTGTGTATGATAATATATTCGATCTACATATCCCTATTGAGATAAACAATCATTTACATTTAGGATTTCAACTGTCGTGATATAATTATCAGCCTTGTGATAATGGTTAACTACTGCTACCCGCCGGACAGCGATATGTTTGATGTTGAATTGACCAATAGTGCGAAAGTAGTCCCACTTTTATTGCTTGTTTTTGAAGTGATAAAACTTTGCACGAAGAAGACGGAGCACTCTGATTTTTTTAACTAGTCATCAGTTATGAAAACAAAACCTTCATGCATAGTGACCTATTGCACTTTTAGTCTCAGATATTCTCTACAATTTACATCCAAACGCGAAACGAGCCATAGCCACACCGCAGATTTCTTGCTATATCAGTGGTATCGCGAAACAGGTCTGTCAAAGTGTATGACTCGCTCCCGACGGTCCCCACACAACGTATAAATTCTCCATGCAGGGTTTCAAATCAAAAGTAACAAGCACATTGTTTGTCGATATCCTTTCTCTGTAGCCAATTGTTCACCTGTTTGCCCTATGGAACCAATAATCCATGATATAGCACTTAGGTATCCGAATATTTTTGATTAATGCTCGCTAAGACGATCCTCATGGAGTGAACTACACGGTCTTGGGATAAGATCCTTCTGTAGGAAAGGCCCGATCGATTTTTTGACTGCCATACCCGGACCATACACATCTTCTCCAATGCACACTTCTTAGAAATGCACGTCATGCGCTAGAGAAGAATTAATATCCATGACATTGAAACCTTAATTGTAGACAAGTTTTGCATATATCCCTATCAGTGTCAAAGTAGAAGTCGTAAATCGACTTGTACTCGTATTCATTTCTGAAAGTCAATCCCCACGAAATATCTTGCTTTTATAGATTACGTTTACTTTCTTCTTGCACACGCATACGATACGTTCGCGGCATCTATCGGCCCATGTTTTGGTACGATTTCTTCTTCTTGCCGTCAAAATTTTTAGCCTTCTCCTCGCCGTTCGACGGGGCATTAGCATACAACACCTTCACATTGGGGCTGTCGTCCATCAACACGCGCGGGCTCTTTCTCTTAGGCTTCTGTGTCGCATGCGCATCCCCTGCCCCAAATACAACGGCAGTCTTCCTGAAGGACCCATCCCTTGTGTGCAGAGACTTCCAGATGACATTGGCTTCGTATGCAGCAATTGGCTTGGCGTCACCAGTAATATGTTTTGTGAAGTCCAGCGCTTCTATCTGCACTGATACCTCCATACCAGGTCTGACAGATTCTATCGGTTGATGCTCGGGGATGACACAGTATCTGTAGAGGTAGGAAACAATGATACAAATAAGTAAAAGTTAAATGCAAGCAAGGGACTCTTCAAGGTATATAAGTAATAAATAAGTATAATCATTTGTATGTGTTTGCGTAAATTATGTATATACTTATAA